GGGTGCTTCAGGCACTCTCACTTCCCTCCTGGCCCTTCACACCCTCATCCCCCATCCCAGAGGCTTTGCTCTTGAAATCTTTTGGGGGTGGCTGCAGCCGTACCCCCCGCCATGCACCCCAAAACCTTCCCACACACAGGCAGAGAGCCACTGCGCCAACCTCTCACACCCGACGGCTGCTCCTGTGTACTACGAGAGCCTGTGCCCAGCATGCCGGGAGTTCCTGGTCCAGGAGCTCTTCACCACTTGGCTCCTGCTGCCTCCCGAGGCCCTCGACATCACCCTGGTGCCCTACGGCAACGCCGAGGTAGGAACCAGCCCAACCACGGTGCCGCGGGCACTTGCCCTAGTGCTGCTGGCCCCATTCAGACCAGTTTGTCCTGCAGGAGAAGAACGTCAGCGGGAAGTGGCAGTTCCAGTGCCAGCACGGCCCGGAGGAGTGTTTGGGCAACATGATCGAGGTGATGGTCCCCGTCCTCATGGTGCTGGCATGGCGGGGTCTGTGGCCCCTCACCGCCTTCACCGTCCCCACAGGCCTGCCTGATGCATGAGGCCAAGAACTTCAGCACCTACTTCCCCATCATCTTCTGCCTGGAGTCAGGCAGTTCCGTCACCAAGAACCTGGAGGCCGTACGTCCCCCTCCCTGTCCCCATGCCCCACCATGGGGCCATCCCGGTCCCCCTTTCCCCCTCCCCATGTGTGTGTGTTCCCCTTCTCCCCGGCAGTGCCTGCAGATCTACGCCCCGCAGTTGGACGGGGGCCGCATCGCTGCCTGCGTGCAGGGGGACGTGGGGACTGCCCTGATGCACCACAATGCCCAGCTGACTGAGGCACTCGACCCTCCGCACCAATACGTGCCCTGGATCGTCATCAATGGGGTATGGCAGGGGGGGAAACCGGGAAGCAGCAGGGCCAGGGCACTGCGGGGACCCCCTGACTGGCCCCATCTTTGCCCACCTACAGAAGCACACGCCCGGCCCCCGGCCTCCCGTCTGAGGCTGATCTCCAGCCTCTACCAGGTGGGACCGGGGTCCAGGGAGGGGCTGGGGGACATGTCCCCGTCCCCGCTGGGGCTTTACCAACTGCTTTTTGGCAGGGGAAGAAACCCGAAGTGTGTGGGGGCTCAGGGGCCCGGAAGGCCCCAGCTGGCTGCAGGCACTGAGGGATGGCGTGAGAGCACGGAGTGAGCGGCAAATAAAAAGGATGATTTTGTGGAAAAATAAGAGGCTCCGGAGTGGTGTCTTGTGGGGGGTGCGGGGAAGGGGCGGCCTGTGCCCCGCCGCGGTC